GCGGGGCCACGGCCTCACCTGGATCACCTTCTTAAAGGGACAGTAGGGCAGGAAGGAAACTTGTTAGACAGGTAATAAACTTCAAAAACCGGAGGCGTCTTGACTGGAATGAGACCGCCGGCGCCGCCTAGTGGGTGGGATTAGGCATGGACTAACCCAGGCCTGATTCTAACCCTACCACCCCAGCCTTGATCCAGCCTTTACCCCGATTCCACCTCGGACCTGAACTGCATTCACCCTGGTAACCCCCCCTCTCCCTTTCTTCAGGGCCCAGCACTGCCATCGACTCAGAGGAAGGCAGGGAAGGCTAAGACAACCACAATGCAGGGCGGGGTCCGCCCTCAGAGAAGCGCCTGGGAGGTTGGAAGAGGGAACCAACTCAGCCGGCGGGGCACCTTGCCTGAGTCTTCAGGAAGTGGGGGTTGTGACTAGGGTTTTACGTGGCAGAGATTGGGAAAGGCATGAGCTAGGCCCCAAAGGCAGGGAGCCTCAAGGTGCGTTCTGGGAGTGGTGAAGGGACCAGTTTGACTGCTGGGGCACAGGATTTGTCTCGGGAGCCAGGCAGAAAGGCAGGTGTGGGCCAGAGCTGGGAAGATCTTGGTAAACACGTTGAGGAGTTTGAACTTACCTTGCGCTTTACAGAGCAGCCCAGAGGAGCGCCTGCTTTAGCCCTGCCTAGTGGTGTCAACGCACAGACCTCCCAACTGCACGGAGAGAGCCTTATATTATATTTAATAGCTGCTTATTCAGTTTCTACTTTCCATGCATTAAGCCTGAAAACATCAAAGAAGAGTACAGTAGTCCTTGCCTTGCCCTAAACAAGTAATTAGTCTGAGGAGTGTTGGGGGCTAGGGCAAAAGCAAACACCCTCAGTGATTAAAATGTCATGCAGGAGTGGACCCCAGTGGAGGTGCAAAACGGGGGTGACAGTGGCTCAAAGCTGAGCGATGCATTCACTGAGAATGGGCAGCGGCCTCCACTCTCCGGGCTCTAGCTTTCTACACCCCTCCCTGGCTCCATCTCATCTGGGTGAATCATTCATAGTTCTTCTGTTATTTCAGTTGTTGCATGTTTCAGTCACTGTGGAGGAAGGGAGGAGCACTCTAGGTGCTTACTTCATTTTTGAAAGTTAATACTTTTCAGAGATCCTTTTACAATTTTATTTTAAATACAGATAAATATAAGAAGAAACGGGTTCATAGTGGCCCAACCCAGACTATCCTCACTGGCATAAAAAATTAAATGTAATGCATGTACATTGGTTGGAAAATTTACGTGGAACAGAAAAGAAACAGAAAGGAAAGTCAAATTCTCCCTCTTCCCGTCCTCCAATTCCTGTCCCCAAAGTTTACCCCCATCAACTGTTCTGTGATTCTCCCAGGACTTTCCCCCTTATATACCCACCATCATGTTTCTCCCACACATACACACAGAGGCCATGGGATCCAACGCTCTGCACCAGAGGCCCCCTAACGGAGGGCTTTGGGGGAGGAGGCGGAGGCCCCTGCAGGCTCACTGGGGTCAGAGCTCTGTGATTTCAGCGGGGAGGAATGGGTGAAGGGTGCACAGCCAACACAAGGGGGGAAATGGAGCAAGCTTTGGACAATTGCTGCTAGGAAAGCAGCCAGACTGTGGTGAGGTAATGCATGTGTGCATTGCTGTAGTTGTTAGTTACAAGACTCTGGGGACTCAAGGGGGTGGGGTGGGGGCTGCTCCTGGCAGGCAGAGGTGGAGTCAGAGGAGCCTAGCTTTTGTTTAAGATTGCTTCTCTGTCCGGGTCAGGGAGTATTGCTGGAGGGGAGTGAACGGTGAAAGCCCACCTCTAGCTGCATTCAGCCAGATCCCAGTCGACAATTCCTCACTCCGGTTGTTGTGGAAGGAGGCACGCCTTCCATTTGGCTTCTGTCCTTAACTAGCAGCGCAGCTTTTGTCAAGTTCTTTACATGCTCTGGACCTGAGTTCCCTTAGACCTGGGTGATCTCTGAAGCCACTTCCAGGAAAGATGGTGGGATTCGGAGTCAGAAGACTTGGGCAGGCTCTTTCAGCCAGGCGGTGCCTCTGTTTCCTTAGCTGTAAAATGGGATTCATTGTGCCCACCTCCTCGGGTGGGTGTGATGATTCAAAGAGGAGAAAGTGCTTTGCTAACTGCAAGTACTGGACAGATGTTAATGTGCTGGGAGAAGGACGGGGCTGAGGGAGACCAGCGTTTCACCGCCCTAAAATATGCCTTTTGGGAATTTGATTTTAAGCTGGTTATTAAGAAACAAAAGACTCAGAAAGTATCTTTGAGCCCTAGCTGGTTTGGCTCAGTGGATAGAGTGTCGGCCTTTGGACTGAAGAGTCCCGGGTTCGATTCCTGTCAAGGGCATATGCCCAGGTTGCGGGCTTGATCCCCAGTAAGGGGCGTGCAGGAAGCAGCTGATCAATGATTCTCATCATTGATGCTACTATCTCTCTCAAAAGAAAGTATCTTTGATTTTCCCTTCTTACCTACCTCAAGGACTTCAGATAGAAAACCTGCGTAAAGGAAGAGAGCATCAAGTTAGCCTCACAGTCCGTGTAAACTGCCTGTGGCCGACAGGGGAAGTCTGGCAGAGACTGCTTGTTGAGCCCTCTGTGTCCCTCTGATTTTGGGTGGTCCTGTAAGAATTTTTTATTGCCACGTTTGCTCTTTCTCATCTACCTGTGAATTGCCTGCTACCCTTTAAAATCTCTGCCACCCCCCACCTTTGTCCAAGATTGCATATACTAGTAAACCTCAACTGCCCAGTGGGTCTTGGGTCTCATATCTTATGGCACCCCGCCCCCCCCCCCATTCCCACCCAGTGTGCATTTGTAATAAATTTTGGACATTTTCTTCTATTAATCTATCTCATGGTAATTTGATTTTTAACCCAGCTAGAACTTAGAAGGTGGGAGAAGAGTTATTTTCTGTGCCTCCACAAGGCTACAGACGACTTACTGAGTTGTTCCTTTCTGAGGCCTTCCAGATCACTCCCAAAGTGACACAACCTCTGTGACTAAGGCATCCATTTTTTTTTCTTTTAAAAGCAATTATATTACAGGATCATTTGCATAAAATAAATTGTACCCATTCCAAGTGTACAGTTGAATGGGTTCTGACAAGTGCACATGCCCTGATAACCACCACCTCCATCAAGTTACAGAACACTTTCATCACCCAGAAAGTTCCCTCCTACTCGTTGCAGTCATCCCCACCTCTGGCCCCAGGCTTCCTGTCAGTCTAGATACCTTTTTCCTTGGTCCAAAATTTGACTGGCTTTGTCCCTTCAGCATGAGCCTTAAGGCCCATCCACATTGTGGACATCAGCAGTTCGCTCCCTCTGCTTGTTGACCTGTATTCCCTCTGTGGGAAGGAGCCAGACATCCCTGGCTCCTTGCTGACTTGGGCTAAGGTAGATTCCATCCCGCCTGGGTCAAGGCCTTGTATGTCCATAGGCTCTGGTTAAAACCCTGCTTAGTCAGGAGGGTAAGTCCAGTAAGCTGCTGGCAACCAGGAGGAGAGCATCAGTACAAATTAGTTTATCAGACTAGTGTCATGATAAACTAAAGGGCCTGCATGAATGGGACCCAAACGACTTTGTTTGGATTTCACGGGGGCTGGCCTGCACTTGTAGGCAACGGGATTCAGGAGACCTTGTGGGCGGTGGGGAGTGGAGAAACAGCCCTCTCCGTATAGCATTCGGTGGACTCTGCATATCTCTGATCATCAGGCTAGTTTGGTCCTCCCGTTTGCTCCTGCCTCTCTCTTTCCTTTCTGTTCTCTGACCCTGCTCTGCCATGGGCAGCAGGGGAGGGATGCTCACAACTACCATTTATTACAGCGCCTACACAGGCTGCTGGGCACT